TCTCAGATTAAAGGCTTAAAATGATGATTGATGATGGCAGGCTACTGTGTGGATGGTAGTGAAGTCTAAATAATGTCATGTTTTCTGATGCAATTAGCACAATGTATTCATCTACCTCAAAGGTTTTAAAAACTTTTTAGCTTCATTACAATCTAGCTTAATGCAAATCATTGCTACTTTATAGGCATTATTAAGGCATTGCAGTGTTGACACTTTAATTGAATGCGAACCCATGTTTGTTTGTGAAGTTCAAATCAGTAGATTACTCTGGCCTCTTTATTAAGCCATAGCACACAACTGTATATGTTTATATTGCATAACTATATGAAAATAAGTGAGAATGAGCTGCGACCCACGGCAGCCATTTCCCTTGATGCAGTCAGAAGCTTATATATGAACATTACATTAAAGAGAGTAAAGTAAAAATGTTTACACTGGAACAGTATAGTCATTAAACCACTGTTCTGCCACACATCACCTTCCACTAACAGTATTGAAAAGTGTGATGTACTCTATGATATTAAACCTGTAACTGTTATATGTTCCATGATGAAAAAGATTTGTCAAAACAACAATTTAAGGCCAGCTGTACCATACAATTACATTATCTACTTCAGGCTAAATGTGTTCTGTCTGGATAGCTTTTGATGGCTTTTCTTTGTGGTGAGTCAGGAAAGTAGTGAGCCTCAGCAAACTCACAAACAATCCCATACAATATGTTACAGTTCATTTAAGAAAGACATCATATAACTTCATTATCTGCAATGTTTTTGACACACACAAGCGCACACTGTGAGCCTGCACTGTGGGCCAGCTTGTGCCTCCAAAACTTGAGTCATTAATCTCGACCCAGTGGGATTACTTAAAACCAGCATGTGGTCCTTTGAATGCTCAAACTTTGAGAGGATGTTCTGCTGTTTGTTCTTAGCTTTAAAAAAAGTGAAGTAGACTCAACATGAAATGACACTACAAACGAAAAACTCTTATAATCTCTTTACTGTTCCAGAGAGCCATTTTTCTTTCCTGGCACAGTCACGGCCTGGATTCGACACTGGCATTATTAGTATGCTAAGACGATCACTGCTTATGCCAGCCTTCATAATGTTACATGCTGCTTTTGGTAATTTTTAGACCTTTAACATTTCTGGGAACATTTACAATCAATGTTTCCAGAGTTTTGTGAATAGACACAGGCAATACCTAGTGTGAAAAAAGTCTAATTTAACTGCAGATCAGGCTTTGAGTATGTCTTATTAACACATTCAGTTTTCAATGTCTGACAAAATGAAGAGTTATTAAGCCTCAATTCACCTAGAAAATATAAAATTGGCCCAAAACCACAGTACATCGCCTACACCAGTATTGGAGCTAAGTTAGATCATCATGATTAGTCAGGTAATACATAATATGATCAAGTAGTTTCTGTCTGAAAGATTATACAAGTATGTAATGGCTCAACAAACGTATTTTACCATTGTGCTGCCCATTCTTATCTCAGGGCCATGTTCTTAGTGTGTGTCCTTGAAACCTCTGTAACTGTCTCTCTCATACCCTCCCAATAAGTAAAGTAAAAAATGCAGGCAGGACAAGACATGCCAGACTACAGCAAAGACAAATAGAATCAAAATCCATTAAAATGTCGACATGGGAGACAAATTAACTCTCCTTTGACTATTAAGGGGATTAAAGAACGTCTGCAGTGACAATTAATAACCCAATCATGTTCCGTCAACATGAAAAAAAAAACTAAGTCAGATGCCATTGTTAAAACAGCAACAGGAGGAGGCTTTGTGGAAAGAGTGATTCCCATGTTGTGATATCCCATGTGTAATTTCCTTGTGTGTAGGTTGTCTTCCAATGAGTTGCTTTCAGTCCTTTGCTTATCGTGTCTGCTGATCTGACAGAGGTCTGACCTCTCTCGACTGATTGAAGACTGTGCCATTTAAAACCGTGAAGGGCATTGTTGCAAGGCATTGTTATTAAAGTCACCTGTACATCTACCATAACCTTCAATGGCTAGTAAATGTAATGAATGTTTAGATAGACTTTTATATTCTGCACGCATTTCAGGAAAGCATTTTCTATTAGTATTCCCACCATAACAAAAGCCCTATTTGTTTCTGCACAGTGGAAAGCACACATAAAAGTGTTTAATTTAAAGTAAACCAAGAACAATTCAACAACTAACTGAGTTGTTTAATTCATTAAATATCCTAAGGGTTAGAAATATATTTATAAAATGCATTTTTCAAGACTTAAATTCTTGATAAATGTTTGATCTAAAAGACAAATGTGAAATGTCCCAAAGCAAAACGGTGTATTTAGATTGATGAAAAAGCAGTCAATTATCACATTTGAGAAGCTTTCACCATGAAATGTTTGGGAAATGTGTTAAGTATGACATGAATAAATTATGAAATTATTATGATTTGGTTGAACAGATCAGACAATGGGTGTGTACATGTGTGATCTATAAAAGAAAAACACCTTCAGCAAATGCAAAACAGATTCGTAATGCAACAGTGAGAGAAATATATCTCCAAAATATAGTAATCAATACATTTTCTGTTGTTTGATCATTCATCAGCTAATTGCTTCAGCTCTTGCCAATACTGTACTGCTGCAGCCATTTGTTTACATATCTGAGGTCATATATCTGCAGCGATCAATACATTATATAATGTATTGATCGCTGATAATAATGATAATTATAGCCCAGTGTGCATGGAAAATGTAAATTAGTTAGTTTACATCTATCTCATTTGCAGCTGGTTCTTTTGTTCATCCAAATGTACAATATGTCATTAATGCTAGCACAGAAGTTTTAAAGTGTCGAAAATGTGCAGTTTGTTAGCAGGACAAGAAACTAAAGATCCAATCTAAACCCCATTTATTCTAGAAATCACAACGTTTCTACATCAGTGCTTTGTGTTTGACCAACTCATTCAATTGTGTTTAGCGAGTTAAATCTTTGAGCGAAATGAACAGTGACCAACAATATTAACACTGATCATGATTCCCCAATAGCATGCAGTCCCATTACCCCCTCCAGATGGCTGTCCATTTGCCTAAAAGACTATAATTGTGCAGCCATTATAACAAGACTGAGACTCAAATTAAGATGCATAAAATTAATTAATACTGACTCTCTAAACAGGCACAAAAGCATCTTAGAGAGCCCAGTGGTGCAGTCATGTGCTTTGTCCAGGCGGACAGGCTGAATCCCAAACAATGTGTGAGAGTCAGCACCAGTAACCAACCAGAGGAAGTGATGTATTGCACACTGACTTGGAACAATGCAGCCTGTTTTACCTGAAGGCGAATGTTTCTACCCCATCAATTTGTTTCAGTGGACAGAGGCACCCTGTGACATTCTCAATAGATTGTCTGTTAGCAGCTGTTACTGAAGACACCTGCTACTTTTCAGCAACGAGGCAAGGCAAGGAGCTTCTGCCAATAAATCTAATCATCACTATGCATTATTTATGATGGGGATTTCAATGCTGTTGGACCTTTTGATTCCTGTCCAGTCTATCTCTCTTTCGGTTTGAAAAAGAGCAATTGTGCTGCTAAAATAGCTGCCAACGTGATAAGGATAGTTATAAGGATGCTCAAAAACAGATCAAAATATGTTAGCACCCTACATATAACCCCATCTTCTCCTAAAAACAGCTGTACTCAGTTAAGAAACAGATGGAGAAAAATCCCTTTACAATACAACAAATTTAACCAGGATATGATTAATTGAGGGACAAGTGCAGGGTGTATTTTTATCTCACTGAGCCTTGAAACAAGTCGACCCACGGCACCAAAGCTCTCTGTTTTACCTCAGCTTTCATTATGCCAGCCTAGCGGGGAGTATAATATCTTGTAGCAGCTGATTCTGAGTTGACACTGCGATGCTTAGGGAGCCTTAGAAACTCTGCTTAAGGCACACTCCTGGTGGGGAGACTGAGGTCTGTCTGACATGTGTGACTCCTGAGGCGAGCATGTGGCTAAATGAATAGAGACAGGACGGATGGCATGACCTACTTCCATAAGGGCTACACTGATTTCTTTACACTAATCCCACAGGTACTGTTCTGCACTGTTCATGGGAAATATACAAATCTTAAATATGCCTATCACCAGAAACCAGAAGGGTGAAGGAGGAGGGATGGGAATAGTTTGAATGCTGATCAGTGGGCAAGGTGAATATAAGCCTTTAACAATAATTTCACTGTGCTTAGAGCCATCTGACAATTTTGTCAAAATTCTACATTAGACTTAATAATGCACAACTGACCTTCTCCTGATGTCATCCTAGTCAATAGTGGTGCCATGATGTAACTAACACAGGAGGCTCTCCTATATCTCCTCTATGTGATAGCATCTAGGTCTGGCTAAAGCCCACATTGGAGGTATCTTTCCATTTATCTTTTCTTATTACTTCAGTTGGAAAAGTGACGTCCTTTCTATCTTAACCAACCCGGGCTAAATCAGGATGCACAGCTTCTTTTTTTTATCCTCTGGAAGCATCACGGAGGAGCGAAGCAAACAGTTGAAGATTATCACTGTGAGGGGGGCGCATTAAATACAGGAGCGGTGCATATTTCTGATTAAAATGTGCGCCTGCTGTAAGAACTGAGGTCGTCCCTATCACGGAGAAAAACGTTAGAATAAAATAAAAATGCACCATATGTTTCATGTACTCAAACAAGTGTTGCGTAAACGTAAAGTATAACAATTTAGCAACGAGTTTTGCACAGATTACACGCGATAGTGGTCGGTTGCCAAACCGTGCCGACAGGCTGCTTGCATTCCGCAAACAACACAGGCTCTCCATAAACGGACATTACACCACACTATCCGTGAGTTTCCTCATTTAAATACTAATTTCACATCGTCACTTTTGATATTTGAAGATGTTTTAATCGCTGGTGGACAGTTTGAGGTACTCCCACGCTAGAGCTATCCGTGTAAAATATGTTTGACAACGACAATGTCACTTTTCCACTCACCGTTCACATGCTGCGGGACAGCGGTGCCCAAACACAGGGCGATGGAGAGGAGAAGCGGTCCCATCCTCTCGCAATAAACAGGTCTGACTTCCAAGGTTACGCAGGTGTGGTAAATACAACAGCAACAGCCAAAAGTTCTCCCTCCTTCGCTCTCGCTGGGCTGTGGGTTTGCCCTGGGAGCTGTTGCTCGCTATGTCATCTCAGGTAAAGTCCTCCTCTGTGATAAAGTCGGCAGAGAGACCACCTGGATTTGTTTTCGTGCAGGAACAAGTGGAGGGTGTCCGCCGGGTCCCCCTGTGCTGCTGCCTCCCCGCTCCTACCGCAGTGGTGCGATGTAGAGAGCGGCGTGTGCGCTCAGTGCTGCCGGACAACTGCTGTCAAGCCTGCACGTGCACGAGCTTCGTATATCCGGTTTTCCGCCGGGCTACCAAAATAAAAGCAGGAAATAAATCAATTAATGTTTGAAATATACTGCCCAATAATGCCGATATGTGGTTTAAATAAAATAATATCAAAATGTATAGCCCAATATAACAAAACACGTTTGTCTCAGTGTGCTGTACTGTATTCATCTGTACAGCCTGTACAGATGAACAAACATAGGCTTGGCTGACAGTGTAAAATATAATTAAAATTACTAGAAAAGTATAACAGACAAGACATTTAACTGCATGTATTGCAATATTTAGGATATGAATTATTTGTGCGAAGTCGTGTTTCAGTAGATATGTTTAATGAATATATTTTTGGGAAAATACTGCTATTTATAAAGCTTTATGGTGAGCAATCTTTTTTGTAAATACTGCCACTTATAAAGCTATCTGGCGAGGACTAAATAGTTATTTCATTTGTTGAAGTTAAGCTTTTATTTGAAGGTACAAACACCTAACTTCCTGTCGGTGGATTTTGACGCAGCTTCAAGGACAGTCCGTTTGTCTCACCGGAGGATGTGCGCTTCACGGTCCGTTACGTTAAACCGACTGGGGCGCTGTCTCGCTGATGGAGACACCTCTTCCTGCTCCCTCCCCTACTGAAGAGCACTTCCAAAAAGTCTTCCGGGGTTTGGAGTTTAAATTGTGTATAATCAGCCTCCTTTGCCTTTCCTTTAACCTCTTTCTCTCCACTTTGCATGACTTTCCTTTCAAGCCTGAGGAAGTTGGATAGCTTTTTCAGGTCTCCTCTCTGGAAATCATCAGTAGCCGATGTTGAACATGTATTACCATCCAAAATATTAAATTGGGCCTTTCTGTAATGCAAATTCATTACGTTGTATAGGTCACATTAGGACATCTGTCAGTATAACATTGAGTATCCCTTAGCATCACATTATTACATTGTCTGTTGTGATGGTTACTGAAACAGATAGTGTCAAAACTTCAACATGCTTCTAATAACTCTGTGAAAGACAGCGGCACCAATGTAGTCATGGTCTACACTTTACCGTTCCAGTTAAAAGGTCAATTCAGCATCTGACATATGATCTGATAATCTCACTGAAAGGTTAAAACTAATAACCAGCTTTGTGTTTCATCCATCCATCCATCTATTCATTCAGGTACCATTGACAAGGCACTGATGAAACTACAATATAAACTGCTGTAGATATCTCACTGAGCTGTGGCATTTCCAAAATTAGAGTGTTTAGCACACTGGTGGCACCACACTGATTCATGCGCCTTGTTATTGCTGCCACTGATTGGATTCTGATGAAACTTGAGGTTAAACAAGTCTAACAATAACACCTTGGTGATTTCACACTGATGAACCCATGGTGGGGACTATGATTACATGGACATCAGGTGTGCTCCATGTTAATTGCTAAGTATATATTTGGCCAAAGTATGAGAGAGTTTGAAGTTTCTATTGTGTTTGTTAATGGTTTCTTCCCGCAAGGACATGCAGTTTTGATAGTCATCAGGTGACATTTACTGAGGCGCAGTAATTGGTCATTATGGAGAATGCATCATTTGTAAGGGACATCATGATCCTGTTTAATGCCATACTTCTATTTTTCTACACAGTTTAGAGAAAAAATCTGCACAATTTAAAAAATAGCGCTCAGGGCCAGACTCAGACTTTAAGCTGATGTCATCACCGAACATCCCGTAGTTATCAGTCTGACCTTGAAGTGTTTCCAAGCTCCTCGTCATGAATCATGGAAGATATCAGGTGTCCCATGGTTTAATGTAGACAGAGACCTATAACTGTATGCACTTGGTCAAGAAGACATATAAATCATCTGCAGTTTCTCCAGTAAAGTCTGCTATCATCTTAATGAGACCCCGTCCTCTATTCCTACAATCACAGCACCTCACATTGTTTCAGTGGTGTTATTTTATCTGTATTACATTTGGTCTGGAGTTAGGAATTTACTATATAAAAAGCAAAACATAATACTTTTGTATTCTTTGTTTGACTTGGTAGTGTGTTACAACTGTAAAACAGACACACACGTCCTCATTAGGCTTCAGTTTTATGTGCCGCAGAGACAGAGAGAAAGAACAAACAACAGAGATGATCAGAGAGGATTCACAGAGGCTTGCTAGTAAGTCCGTACACTAAATACATCCCCCTCCACCTCCTCATATTCTTCACCACACTAACACAGATCCATCCTATAACTGTATTCTGTGCATCCTCCACACTAGTATATCTAAATCTCGCCAAAGCCAGTCCCTCAAACTCAACTATTGTCGTCTCCTTTGCCCTTGTCGAGAGGCTGAGCTCAGACCAGTGAATCCTGTTCAGCTCACATCCATCCTCATTTAGGCCACAGGGACCCATTTAGGATGAGCAACGGGCTGGAAAACACAGTGACCTTCTCATATTTTACTCATTTACTGCGTTTTTGTTTTATTTCAGCCTCTAAAAGCAAGTGCATGTTTTCATTTCTAGAGTTACAGAGTTTGAGAGGAGTGTCTGCCATTTATTTTCCAGCATTAATATGCACCTTGAAGGGCACGTACGTAGATTGTATCCTTTCATCCAAATGGACAAGGGGGGCTAAAGAACCTTAAGGATGCAGAAGTGTAATAAAAAAACTTAATGGGTAAAGAATCTATGAATTCAGTCTGAGAATGGACTATTGGCATGAGGCTTTATTATCTGTCGTGCCCTCAGCGTTTTCATAACCACCATTTTAATGAGGTTAACCTCTTTAAAACAGTGGATAAGAGGATAATCACTTTTTCTTCCTTGCCTGTCTGTGTTTCTATCAGTAAGCTCCCTATCCTTTCTCATTCCCTCTGTCTCTCACAGGGGAGAGAAGAGGTTTTTCATATCCACCCGTTCACTCTCTCATCTCCCATGTCTCCAGGTTCTCGTGCTCTCCTTCCCAATCAGACTGCTTGAGTCTTGTTCAAGGCCTCCCTCTTTCTCTCTGCTCTCGCCATAAAGACAGTCTAACAAAGGCCTAAGGCACAGAAAGAGAACGAGAGACAGCCAAGGGAAAAGAGGTGGCGGTTAGAAGGGTGGTGATGGTGGTGGGTTGGGGGGAGGCACAGAGCAGGATGGAAACAGCGAGAGAGTAAAGGAGATGGATGAAGAGAGTGGGAGAGACAGAGAGAGCGCAGGGTAGATTGAGACAGTAAGGAAGGCAAGCAACACTAAATTAGATGCTCTTGGAGAAGAGACAGTGAATTAATTCCAAAGAGAATATTGCATTGTATCTTCTTTTCCCTTCCTCTTACAGCGGAGTTATGTGTTCCCACAGCAGGCTTCTATATTCCTCTCGTCCCTCTTCTGTTAGTCCCAGGCTGTTAATACCACTGGCACTAGCTCATGCTTTCCCTCTCTTTGTCAGTCTGATTACTATGATACTTTTGTTATGCAGCAAATGAACTGAGTGCTAACAATACAAATGCACCAAAATGAGATTTTGATTGAGCAATGATTGCCATGTTCAATATAAAACTACTTTGAGCATTCTGGCACTCTGTCGTTAAAAATCAGGCAAAGTGTAAAACTGCTAAAAAAACACTGGGTATTTCATCTCAATCAATGAATAGAAAAAGAGATAGGGGAAAAACAACTGCCAAGATATTGCATTCACATCAAATGTATTCCTATTTATTTGCACTTTAACAAAGGAACCCATTGCTTTTAGTTTTCCTGGGGAGAAACCATGATACATTGCCTAACAAGGAGCATTTTCCATAACTCGCCCCCAGTACATGACGATAATCACGATGATCTGCCACTGTGAACCCACTACCATCTGTTTCCACTATGAATACAGCCAGGGCAATCTGGTGGTTGACTGAAACACTGGCCTGAGCCCCCCACATTCACAAACTTGCATTTATTATTTAAACTACCGTTGGAAATCATAATATTTGGCTGGGTTTGCTGAGTAGTCAGATATGGTCCGCTGACGTTCCACTCTACAGCGTTTTTGTCAGTTTGTGCTGAATACATAATAGAGCGATATATTGGGTTATACTGAATGATTGACATGGGTTTTCACACTTTCTAAACTTTTCTTGTCATAGCTGTTTAATTAGCTTTTTGAGTCTCACTAAAACATCTCTGTTATAATTTCACATCTGTCAGAGGAGACTTAATGAGTAGTGTGCAAGTATTCCTATAAATACTTCTTAAATGGCATACAACACTCTATCTTAATCTTAAATTCAGGATAGTATCAGTCAGTGTCTAATATAAATGTCATTTCAGACAGGCATCAGGATAGCTGAAGAAAAGAAGATATCCAACATTTGGGATGTGAAAACAAATGTTTAAACAATCAAATGTTATTTTTCTAGGCTCTTTTTAACTTAACTCCACCGTTTACACAAAACAAGAGGACTAAGCAGCGTGTTATTTTCACAGACTCAAATGTCTTGTTGGGCTTTCAACAGTTTTTAATTAAAGACAGCTTTGTTTATTCAGATCGTCTGGATTCAGTTTGGATTAAAGTTTATTTAAATGTGTCCCTCGAGAATTGACACTTTCAGATTGCGTTAACATTATGTAACAGCCGAGATCAAGACCAGTGTTTTAACAGCTTGCAAATTAAAGATCTAGCTGTTTTTTCACACAAATTGAGCAAATATTTAGTTCACTGTCTGAGGCTTGGGACTTGAGAACAATTTTTAGAGATGACACTCAACCCTTCGCTGAGCACTTCAAAGCCTGCTTGTGTGAACACTGCAGTTATAAACACACAAAGCAGGCAGTAGCGAGAAAACAAATGCATGGTCACACTGAGCAGGGCCAACTGGCCAACTTGTGGCCCCACGCAAAGTTATATGATGAGGCCCTCTGTGTTGCGAGCGGGGGGTGCTAGTTGCGCGCGTACACTGTAGGTGCGCCGCATTTGCGCTTCAGATGAGGCTCCCTCCGCAAA